CCCCAAAACCCCAAAACCCCAAAACCCCAAAACCCCAAAGGAGAAGGAAGAGTTTGGTTTACTGGAGCCTTATTATGTTTAAAAGTAGAATGCATAACTTAGCTCAAGGGGAGTAAAGTGAAGTATAAGCTTACTGAATAGGAGTTATATCCTATAAGTAACTCAGTTCGCTAAAATATGAAGTAATAATTTAAGAGCATCTTTTATTAGTGATGCTATCTATCCTGGCTTTCATTTCAGAATAAACTTCGGATTCCATTCCCTCATAAGAGGCCTGGGAAATCCAAGGATGAGAAAGTATTTCCTGAATGCAAGGTCTTTTAAGTGGGTCAGCCTGGAGCATCCAGGTGAGAAGTTCGTTTCATTCTGAAGAAAGGTAGTTTTCTTGGATGTACTGATCTTCTTCGTCAGCACAACTCATAATCTCATCATCTGTTACATCTGAGGATCCAATCGTAGATGAGGTATTCTCTTTAGTAAATTGTTTTGGGAATTCACCTAGTAGCATTATTCAAAGAGTAACTCCGAGACTGTAGATATCTGCTTTCAGTCCGTCGAAGGTATCGTTTGGAGAAAGATCCTTAACCTCTGGAGCCATGTAAAGAGGGGTTCCAACCTTGTGATTAGTCTGGCCTGCAGTTTTTAATAGACTAACTCCTGATCCGAAATCTGCAAGTTTAGCATTAAAGAATTCATCAAGCAGTGTATTTTCGAGTTTAATGTCTAAATGTCAGAAATTTTGTGAGTGAAGAAATTCTATGGCAGAAGACATTTGCAAAAATATAAACCTAGCTATGCTTTCTTCGATAGCTCCAGTACGTTTAATGATCGTGGACAGGGATCCATTCTCGCAGAATTCCATTACATTATAGCTGATAGTTTGGAGTTCTCCTTCATGCTGTAATGTTCCCTCTGGATTACAAGAGAAGTGTTTTCAGATGTTTGGGTGCTCTCCGATGTGTTCCATGACAAGGTATTCTCTCAGAACCATCATGGACTCTACGCTTGCTTCGTATCCTTTGTCTTTGCGGATAGCTTTAATAGCAAACTTGTTCATATTCTCATCAGTAGCAGAGAATACCTTGGAGGAGCCTCCAAAGCCGATGATATCTTGTAAAGTATAAGTACAGATAGAACCAAGGGTATCGTCGATCATTTCAAAGTACGATATGATTATAAATCTATTATTATTTAATCTATTTTTTTTGTGGATTATGGGGTTTTGGGGTTTTGGGGTTTTGGGGTTTTGGGG